GTATGTGTTTGTATGTATGTGTTTGTATGTATGTGTTTGTATGTATGTGTTTGTATGTATGTGTTTTTTATGTATGTGTTTGTGTGCATGTGTTTGTGTGCATGTGTTTGTGTGTATGTGTTTGTGTGTATGTGTTTGTGTGTATGTGTTTGTGTGTATGTGTTTGTGTGTATGTGTTTGTGTGTGTGTGTGTTTTGTGTTTATGTTTTGTGTGTGTGTTGTTTGTCATGCATGTTTGTGTGTGTGATGTTTGTGTGTATGTGTTTGAGTGTGTGTGTTTGTGTGTGCGTTTGTGTGTATGTGTTTGTATGTATGATTTATATATGCGTTTGTGTGTATGTGTTTGTGTGTATGTGTTTGTGGCATGTATGTGTTTGTGGTATGTATGTGTTTGTGGTATGTATGTGCTTGTGGTATGTATGTGTTTGTGGTATGTATGTGTTTGTGGTATGTATGTGTTTGTGGTATGTGTGTGTTTGTGGTATGTATGTGTTTGTGGTATGTATGTGTTTGTGGTATGTATGTGTTTGTGTATGTATGTTTGTGTATGTGTGTTTGTGTGTATGTGTTTGTGTGTATGTATTTGTGTGTTTGTGTGCATGTGTCTGTGCGTGTGTGTGCGTGTGTTTGTGTGTATGTGTTTGTATGTGCGTGTTTGTGTGCATGTGCCTGTTTGTGTGCATGTGTGTGTTTGCGTGTATTTGTGTGTTTGTATGTGTATGTGCATGTTTATGTTGTGTGTATGTTTGTACGTGTGTGTGTATGTGTGTGTCTGTGTGTACGATGCATGTTATTTGATTTTCAGACGTTGGCTTAGTGCGGTAATAAGTAGCTGCTGTGGTGCAGAAGGTCGTTAGGATCAGTGTCAAGTTGTTAATTCTATTACTTTTAGTAGGAGACAGGCCAAAGTTCAGAAATTTCCCTTTAAATCAAATCAGTTTGGCTAAAAAAAAATCCATCTCTCCAGTTCCGAGCTGCATCTTTACAACTTCGCGACATCACATTGCCAGTTAATGGACTAAATTAATGAATTTACACTTCTTGTTTTACTCATAAGCCGGTTTTTCAGGGCAAACAGGATGGATGGTATGGCTGCGCACTGTACATGGCCCAATGGCAAGGTGCCCCACTGGAGCGAGAAGCGCAGAAGAAATATCCATTGTCCATGCTCATTCGGATTTGTAAAATCAGGTATCTCCTAACTTTTACTTACTTTGGTCAGCTATTTTTCGTTCCGTCCGAGCATACCCTCTTTCGAATTATGGTGGCCAAAACTGCATTATTCGTTAGCCAGTTTGCAGGTAGTCCTTGTTTTCTTTGGGTCTTTTTTCTTCTACGAAATATGATAGTGACCGTGTTTTTTTTTTTTTTTCTAACTTTTTTAAAACGTTTTGTAGTTTTTGTGACTTTCTCTTATTTGATTGTGAAAAAGTATGTTGATTTCGTCACTAGGTATATGTATGCACATGTCCTAGAATAAATGATCCGTAATTTAAAAACGTTGTGTTTTGGGAACACAGAGTTTTCGAGACCGCAGGCTCATGCCTTTTATGATTCCCTGTACTCACTGGAAAAAAAAACGATTGGTGGATGGCGTTTTTGCATAATCGGTACTTGAACAAGGAACATCCCCACAAAATTTCAGCTTTCTAGCTTTTCTGGTCCCCAGTTAGTGATTTCTCCGTCAAAAATCTTCATGGGGACAAACATGGGTGCCAAGTATACCCGGGTGCTGAACTGGACATCTCTGAATTCCACGACGTAGACATCGCCACTTTTCATCAAAATTCATTATTTTGTCCGGAATTTCAGTGTGCTGGAATTTTTCGAAAAAGTGATCAAATGGCTGGAGATGATAAATGGACCACGGCGACTGCAGGAGCATGTAAGTCGAGTTCAGTCCTCGCTGGCCATCACAGCTGTGGTCTACAAAAAACTGCTGCCCATCTTTCGAAAGGTATTTTCGCCTCCGGCCGAGGATGACGACAGTTCGGAACGAGTGACATGCAAAAAACTTTTCAACTTACTTTGGTCGCTTTTCATCGTAATGCGAAGTTAGTTCATTCATTTTTTGCACATTGTGTAATTTGCATATTAAAAAAAACAGTCATTTTATTGATAGCGATTATGCAGTTTTCCACAGCAAGGAAGAATAGGATGCCTGATGTACAATATTTTTGCCTGTTTCCCCGCATTTTTTGTGTTTTTTCTCTCGCCATTGTTATAGCTGGTAGTTCGTTTATTTTTTTATCTCTCACATAATTCTTGTAGAATTATATGGGAGGTAAAAAAAAAAATGGATTTTCTTTCAAATTAGAGTTCATGGTGTTCAAATGAATTTCCTCTTATACGTTGGCAGTCTTCACCATATTTTTTCCTATAACTTTTTCTAGTTCCCATAATTTAGCGTTCTTGTTGTCCATTTGTTTGCCTTCTAGCGCAGTTTGACAGTTTCTACCTGCAATATGTTACCGGTGCAATTTTTTTTTCTGCTTTCTTGGTCCTTTTTTTTCCATATTTCGATGTTACAGGCGAAATTGTTGCCCATCTTTCACTGGAGAGATGCTCCTTTTTTATGTCTCGAAAAATTATAATCCCTGTTGTTTTAATATTCTAGTTAGCTGTTTTTTCATGATCATGTTCCTGATAACCACTGACGCAACTGCCAACTTCTCCGTTCTTCTTTGTTTTAAAACTTAATTTCATGTGGCCGTTCAAACGGGTCTTCCCATCTTGTCCGCGAAATTCTCTGTTTTACGGAGGTCTTTATCTGCCAAACTGCAAAATGAGCGGACAAAAAAATGAAGATTCTTCTAGGACATTGATTTTATATCTTACTATGGTGGCCCTAAAAGTTGATATTCTAGACTAGTGGCATGCCCTGTGTATGTATGGAAGACACCTAGTTGTATATATGTACATATACATATATATATGTATGTATATGTACATGTATAAGTGTATGCATATATGTATACATAATATGTGTGTATATATAATATTTATAAACACATGAGTTATGAAACGTAAATTAATAAA